CAAGTCAAATTTGTATCTATGTTCTATAAACAAAATGGACAGTTTGAAATAGTTTCACATCCAGTTCTTTTCATGACATTGTAAAATCTCCTATACCTGGTGCTGTAACCTGTATTAAGCACATAAAGACTCTAACATTAGGATCCTGAATCTACTTAGTAGAAGATTTCAAAGATTTCAAGGTCCTAGAAAAAAAGGCTTTTTAATGTCTAGAAATCATGAGAAACAGTAGTAGCAACACGACAGGGCAATTATTTACCTTTCATTTTCCTTGGTGACTTCTTCCAATTTTAGCGTCATCTCACCCATTTGTGCCTGACACAAAGACATGCAAGAGTAAGCACTCATTTAAGTTACACAAACTCTGGTAGCCCTGCCATCCTGTATTTCTGACTGACACTGTAAATGATGGACAATTTAATTCAGCATAATACAGCAAATGAAAGTAATTTCTTTTCTAAGGCAAGTTGCAGGATGCCACTTGAATTTAACAGCTGCCAAGTCCTGTTACATCTCAGCATTTAGAAGTTATTACAGATGTTAAACTCAACCTTTTGAAATTCTCATGGCTCTTACAGATTGATTTTTAATGAACTCAAGTTTTTAGGGATAGAGTAGATAACTCATCTTTCATGCTGCAAGCATTTGACGAAAGCTTGGTTAAACTTAGTTTTAACTGAGGAGAAACTCCAGTTATATGAATCAAACTGGCTGTTTTGTTGACTAGTGCAAGGAAGCCGTAGTGCTTCTGCTGCCTTCTGAAACTGATCAAGCTTGAAGACTATTTGCAAAATCTGTATGATGGACAGATCAAACAAATTAAGTGCATTAAACCAAAACCAACGTGTAACTTCTGCATGAAGATCAGAAACAAGAATTTCTTTCTATGCCACAAGTTTTAATATCACTTCATTTTCAGTCGTGCCATGAAGCATTAAAAATTTTCATTTCACGTGGCTGAAAGGAGGATGGTTCCACTGCACCTCAACACCCAGGATTACACTGTTGCAATATGGACAATCTCCCAACGTTTTCACAGAAAGCTCTCCATTCACCCCCTTGAGGCAGCCTGCAGTCTTTGTGAAACATGACAAAAACTAGTGCCCTACCTATTCACACCACTAAATGAAGACCCAGTCTGAAATGTTAGCAATGCTCATACCTGATAAAGCTGCAGCTGCTCTTTCATTTCAGCCACGCGTTTACCATACTCTGTGACTAGAGCTGACAAGCTAAGAAGTTGAAAAACATGCTCAGAATCAGTTTTGTAAATGCTGAAATGCTCTGATAATTAACTAGTTTTAAAGAGTCCTTAATCTAGAGGCCAGAACAGTCACTTTTCTTGAGTTCCAAGCTCAACATTCCTCAGAATCAAATCAACAAATTTAATCTTTTAAATAATGATCATTAACAGCAAGGGTCCTACATAACAGAAGTGGAACATATAATGGGACAGTGTAAATGACCATTAATACAACATTAATATTTCACAGATCCACACAGAATCCCAAATATTAAATTAGATTTCATTGCTGCTTTCACATACAATAGCAGAGTGGCCTACAAGACAATGCAGAACAGTGTAGGTCTAATTCTATGCTTTTTTCCCTCTTAATCTTTTCATAATTGATAGCAATTCTCTGAAAATTCTATATTAAAAGCTAAGAAAAGCTGGGTTGTTTTTGTAAGAAGATCATGATCATGAAACCATTTACTGATAGACAACTGTTAGTTTAAGAGTGTCAGAAAAGCATTTTTAAAGACATCCCCCAATCTCAACAGACAGCAGTTACCCATGGTATCCAGATCAGTGCAATCTCACCGGAACTTTTGTTTATTCTCACAAAATTTAGACAGGAGAATTCCTTCATTCATCTCTCATCCTTTAGTTTACAGCTTGTGGAAGCAAAGTAATTTAATTTCTGAATAAACACAATACCACCTAAAAACAACTTTTACAGTAACACCTCTACAGACATGTGTCCACAAGAGCCAGTTCACCTGGATATTTACATTCCTATGAGCGCATGACAATTTCCTTCAAAAACACTGCAGTACTCCCACTTAGCGTTAGGAATCGGTTACCTTTGGTCCATCATCCTGGATCCTGATGCTCCATCACCAACATGGGCATGCTCCTGTAATGGAATAATAATCTACTCTTCAGTCATTGCACATACATGTAGGTAGATTTAAATTTTTATATGAAACCCAAAACTGTCCGTACAAAATATGCCACAGAATCACTTTCAGGTTTATGATCAAAAACCCTTGAGTGCTGGTCCAATATGAAAAAATAAGGATTTTTTTTTTCCTGGACATGCTCTTATCTAAAGTATAATTACATGTGAGGGAAAATCAACTCAATCTTAAAAGAACAACCATAGGTTTTTGTAAGTACTTGGTCCATTTCCATGCATCTCAGCATCAGGAAGGTGCTGAAGCTCTAGCTTCTGCACAAGCTTTCAGACAGGCTTATGGTACACCCAGCACAAAAAGTTACATGAGACCAATCTCCTAGATTAGGGAAGACTATGAAAGTGAAAAAGCATACTAAATTACAAATCAAGGGCTCTTTCAAGGACAAAACATTTAGAAATGCACCAAAAATACCATAATTCACTGCCAGGGTAGTTTTTTTCTGCTGTTGCTATGTTGTATGATGGACTCAAAACAGGGCCAGACAACACTGAAGTGAGCTGTGCTCCATATTTGGAAATTTGTTTATCACAAAACATCATTGAAAAAATTTTTACTACTCCTACCCCTGCATCACATACCTGCTCATCAGTAGCTCTCAGAACCTCATTGGTTTCATAGTGTCCAAGTGCCATTTTTAGCCTCTTATCTGAAAAACACCACGTTTGAGAATCATGGCTATCATCTACAGGCCTCTGACTACACAAATGGGACTGGCAGTCAGAAACACTTCTAACAATATAATACTTTGAGGGGGAAAATAATTAGCTTCTAAAATTATTCTATTTAGCACAACTGTTTTAAAAAAAACCACAGGACTTGAAAAAACCTACAGGAATTGTAATAATAACAATAATAATGAATTCCATTCCTTTCATATTCTGTTTTCTTTAAGAAATATTTTTGATCTGTTTTGTAAGAATCTGAGTAACACTTTTGTAACTGGAATGGGTAACAAAGAAGAAAAAAGAATTTGGGAATGCAATGACTATGTTTTGATTTAAACAACTTTTGTCTATTTTTCTTGATACATATCCCATGATTCTTTTTTAAACTTCTAAAGGAGGATACAGGGAAAAGACAGTGGGGATAGAAAGGAGGTGACAGCAAAGGAATGTCAAGAAACAGGAAGGGGAAAGCTGCTGCCCCTACAAGACATAGGATGCAAGTGTGAGATGCCATAGGTGCAAAAAAGGGACATATTTTAAGCATCACTCACAGAAGCTCCCTTTAGACACTAAAGCATTAAATAAATTCTGAAAAAAGTTTGGCATGTATCACAAAAGTATGTAATGGAATGGAGGATTATTATTTGTAGGTCTGGTTACTAAGACTTCAAAAAGCATTCAGGTAAAACTCAACTTTCTTTACAGCTACATATTTAACAAAACAAGCACTCTACAACATTAAATATAATACTGCTTAGAGAATCTTCTTTCATATATATTAGAAATATTCAGTGTTTTAGAACTTTGATTTCACATTTGTGAAGCAAGAGAAACATCAATCTATGTATCAGGCTCAAAGTAGGCCTAAAACAACTCAGGGCTCAGCTGGCATAGAAGCCAACTTCAAATCTGTCTTTTAGCTCCTGTGAAAATGTATAAATTTTAGTCTGAGTTCTACTTAGATTCTAAAAACTTATAAAATAAGCTACAGCCAAAATAAATACATATGAAAAGGCAACATTCCAATATCTGAAAAAACATAATTTGTTCACGTCACAGTGTAATAAATACTCTTGCAAAGCTCCAGAAAGACACAGATTTTTGAACCATAATGACTGAGCTATCTCAGACAGAAGCATTTCAGCTACTGAAATCCTTGGAATCAGGAATTGGAAATCTTTCACCTTTGGCCACATGAAACTTGGTACCAGTGAAATTCTGCGGTTTGAGCGATGCACAGCTGCAAACACTGCATGCACCGTGACCTGGTCTCGCTGCTGTGCTGCCAAGTTTTCCTGCAGCACTAATGAGGGACAGTGACAATCCTCGGGACACGCACCTACCCCATCTCCAACTTACGGGAATACAAACCCGGCAGAAGCAAATTGTTTTGGCCAGTTATTTTCTTGGTGAGTAATTGAGATGTGCTCTGATTATGGCTCTAATTAAGCTATATTAAACCCATCAAGAAACACATAATTTAAAATATCGGTTTTAGTCCGTAAATTTCACGAATAACTGGCAAAAGAGCTTTCAAGTGTGAGCAAAGCATTGGAAACGCCGTGGTTTCATAACTAGAGAGGCATTCACACAAAACCGCATGTGTTTCTGGCCATTACCCTCATTAGCAGCTTTTAATTGCCGGTGTTTAGCTAACTAAAAGCATCACCCATGCTGTTCCTCGCTGCAGCGAACGCTGGGAAAGCTACGGAATACAAACCCTCACTGCTAAGGAATACAAACCCTCGCTACCGACACTCACCCGGCCGTGCCTTGTTCCGAGCTTTCCCCAGACAAACTCCACGAAGCCCCGGGGGAAAAGCCGCTCGTCCGGCCGCTGGCGGGGAGGGAAGCGGAAGGCGGCGGCAGGAGCTCCCCTCACCCGCCGGTGCCCCGGGGCGGGGGCGGCGGGGAGAGCCGCCCCTCCGCTGCCTTCCCGCAGCCCCGGTGCCAGCACCGCCACTTGGGAAGGACGCAGCCCCGCTACCAGCGGAGCCACAGCCCGCTCCAGGGCCCCGCGGCGGAGCCCCACAAGTGCCGAGGGCCGGGGCGGGCCCGGCCGCTGCCGCCCGCCCTCAGCGCCGGGCCCGGCCGCCAGCACCGCCCCCGTCACGTGGGGAGCGGACGTGGAGCGGCGCTGAGGCGGAGGCGAAAGCGAAAGAAATGCCCGGTTATAAACTTTCCTTCACGGGGTTGTGGGTTAAAGATGGGCGCTGAGGCGTTTAAACTTCCCTTCAGGAAAAAAATCAGTGCGTGGCCGGAGAGGCAGAGCGGGGAAGCGGGAGCGGTGCGGAGCCCTCTGGGAGCTGCCCGTCGGAGGCTGCAGCCAGGCGGGGATCGGCCGCTTCTGCCAGGGAACCAGCCATAAGAGGAGAGGACACAGCCTGAGGCTGCATCTGGGGAGGGTCAGGTTGGACTTTAGGAATAATTTCTTTATAGAAAGGGTGGTTGGACTTTGGAACGAGCTGCTCAGGGAGTTGGTGGAGTCGCCGTCCCTGGAAGTGTTTAAGGAAAGGCTTATTTGCAGTGACTGCAAATGAAAGCTTCAGTTAGTTGCTTCATTTTCTTGTGTCTCAGACATTAAAGGTTTTCCCCTCAGTCTGTTTTTCTGATGTTACTAAATCCTCTTCAGTTCATGTAGTGGAGACTGTTTTGTTTATCTGTTCTCTTGATAAATACTTCTGGTGGTTTTGGAAGGTATTTCTTTAGATGTATGTTTGAAAAGCCTTAAGCTTAATGAGACTTGAGAATCATTCGTAACCCTGCGGGTATAAAAACTATGAGAAACAGCATTTATGTAACTGTTCATTTAGTTTTTTTACAAAGCTAATATGTTTCACTTCTGATGTCTAAAAACACGATTTGATAATTGAATTTATACCAATGTGTGTGTGTTTTTTGTTTCCTGGGCAACCAAATGGCAGTTCGTGCGGAGTTGGAATCTGAGATCTTTGACAGAACTTTCCTTTTTCATTTTTTGTAGTATCTCAAGATGGAATTTAGAATTAAACACACGTGGGATGGTTTGCCTGTGAGCCATGAGCCGGTTACAATTGGGCTGAGGCCGGATAATGCAGGATTACTGATGGAAGTTCATGCTCCTTTCTTTAATGACCCTCCAGCACCACCTGGAGAGCCAGGGAAACCTTTTGGTGGACTGTGGGACTATGAGGGTAAGTGTGACTCTTCTGCAAAAGTATCTGGCTTCTGTAGACACTGATGTTCTGTATTTGATATCCCTGGTCTTTTTTAAAGAGTCTCTGATGGTTGTTTTTTTGTTTTTTTTTTTTTTTTTTTTAAAAAAAACCCCAAAACTGCAAAACTGTAGTTCAGTGATCTGGGTTGATTTCAATAATTCTGAAGTTGACTTCCTGATCCTGTCAATAGTATATGCACTCAGTCTTACTATTTGGGTTACTGATATAACTCATGCACTATCAGAGGCTTGAGATATTTGAATATCAAAATAATTTAGTGGTATATATATATATATATATATATATGGTTTTTAAATTCCCTTGTGGAAGGAGAAGTGAAATCCTAAAGACAGATTCAGTTTTGCTTTCCATAAGTACAGGGTTTTAATTGTTTTTCCAAAATTCCTTTGAGGAATAGGAAGGTGTGAAACACAGAAATTACACCTCATGAAATGCAGTTCAGTATAATTGTACCCAAATGAAATGGGGAAAATTCTCTTAGTAGTGCTGGGTGTTTTCTCCTTTCCTGTCCATACTGTCATGTTTACCCATTGCTTTGAGTAATGCAAGAATTGAATATTTCCAACATCTCTTCACTTCCTGATTATTGAGCTATTCTGATTCAAGCTCTACTGAAATGGTATTAGCATTCTTTGCATCTCTTTCGTGTTACTATAGCACATATGCTTAAGTAAAAATAAATCATAATTCTTATTAAAGTTTTCTAATAATTCCATTTGCTGTGAGGAGCACCGTTGTAAATTTACATGAGAAACACCACTGTAGTTCTACTTTGTTTTCCTGAAATGTGATTCAAATGTAATATGTGGCTTTCAAGTACACCTGGAACAGTAATCCCCTGTCCAAAATACCCATCTACAGGGAAAAACCATTTAAGAGCTAAATGCTTTCTTTTTACTTCTGAGATTTAACAGTTTTAGTTATGGGGTGTGTGCCCTGCTCTGAATATGTGATTCTCTTTCCCTTATTTTCCTGCTGCATCAAGGTAACTGTTTTCAAAGCTGGAATTGATAAAGCTAATAAAGTTAGTACAGTACTTTTTAAAGCTCTTTGTGATTGTAGCAATTAACAGCTCCTGAAGTTTGATTTGTAGCACAATATTTTGAGTATTTGGGTTATAGTTACTTCGTACATGTCAATAGCAAGTCAGGCTCTGGCATGGCACAGGCCAAAACCCATGAAAATTGGGTTGTGTTAATGGGAAATGAAGATCTCAGGATATTACAAAATAGTTAATGCAAAATACTGACAGCTTGGGTTTTTTTTCTTTTTTTTTTTCAGTTGTAGAAGCATTCTTTCTGAGTGACAGAACTGAGCAGTATTTAGAAGTTGAGCTTTGTCCGTAAGTACAGCACTGAAAAAGTCCCAAAATTTAATTTACACTTGCAGTTCTAATGCTTGTGAGATAAATTTATGCGGGAGACTAGACACAGAAATTGTTTCAGTATGGGGAACATATGTATTTGTGGAGGTATTATGCACTAATAACTTGACATAATTTTAGGAAATTTGTGCTCTGACTCTTTGACAGCCATGGGCAGTACTTACTGCTGCTTCTTTCTGGCAGAAGAAAAGCATGGAAAGTAAGTGGCCAAGTACATTCATAATTACTTTTATTTTTTTATTTACTGACTTTCTGATCACAAGATGGTCAATACCTTTTTTTTTTTTTCTTTTTTTTTTTCCTTTTTCTTTTCCCTCCTTTAACAGGAAGAACTTCCTTTGGAGTTTGAGGTGACCAGAATGAAAACCAAATGGGAGGGTAAAGCTCTTCTTCCCTGGAGTTATTTTCCACCATGCACTGACAAGTTCAATGCCTTTGCAATTCATGGCTCAGGAGAAGAGAGAAAATATGAAGCACTTTATCCTGTGCCTCCACACGAACTGCAGGAAGGACAGGAACCAGATTTGTAAGTGTAAAATGAGTTCTTCCGTAATATGGTTGCACTATTGTTGGAATACTTAAAAAAGCTAATCTGGTTTTTGGATTGAGTGCCCCTAGTATTTTTATTATAGTACTTAGCTCTGGTGCTGTACTTGGTAGAAAGCAGTGTGGCACTGCAATTAGTGCTTGATTTCCACATTAGATGTATAAAAAATGATGCATTCAATCCCATTGGTATCTGCTTTTCTCACCCTCCTCATCTAAATCATGGGTAGGTTGTTCTGCTTTTCCTTCTTGACTTCAGCTCCTCCTGAAGTGCCATTTAGTGATAATTTCAGCAGCTGCATTTCCAGTAAATCTCTTCTGCTCCTTCCCTCCTGTTCTAAAAGCTTTCACCTCTACAGATGGTTGCATGCCATGGAAAAAATTGAAAAGGCAGACTAAACTAAAAAAGTATAATTAAAGGATACCCAGTATCAATGGAAAAAACCAGAGAATTTGGATTTTTAAATTGTGCTTTGAGCCTTTTTTTTTTTTTTTCCTTTGGATGTGAGGCTGAGATGATCTGATAAAGCCTGTTACTCCTGGGCATTTTGTATAAATGAACCAGCTCTAGAGGACGCAGTAGTTCTTACAAAACTTGTCACACAACATACAGTTATGGTGAGGCAGGGTAAATTTTAAATAAATTACCATTTATTGCCTTTATTTATGAAAAATTTAGCTTCTTCAATTGTATATTTAAAAAAAATCTGAGGAATTGCTGATAAAACACATTATCAGTGTTCTGTGACAAACAGATATTTTTATTTCTCTCTATTAAACTGGAGAATAGATGTAATACTTCTCAAGAAGGAATTCTTTTATAGTACCCCTTTCAAAAAAAAATCTCCCCCTTGTCTTTTCCAGATGTTGGTAGCAGATGAAATTGTGTGAAGAGACTGTTCCTTGCTGCTTTCATTACTCTGTTTGTCTTTGCTCTTACAGATTACTACAAAAGTAGTAAAATATTAGGACTTGGTTTATTTCTCTTTTGTTTGCAGTCATCGTTTGGAATTTTTCAAAGACTTGAACCTGAAAGAACTGACAGGAGAAGACTGGAAGCAGCCTGAATCAGATATATGGAAATCTCTCACTAAGTGAATGGATTGAGGCATAAATTTTTGTAATGTTGAAGTTGGCTGAAGCTGTATGGAAACAACAGCTTCCTCATTCTGAGCAGAGGTTGTAGATACCAGATTAGCAAGGCTTTCCTTCGTGCTGAAATCATGGATCAGTCTGGAAATCCGCTGCAAAGCATGTGGATCTGTTGATTCTAAATGGATGAATGGCTTATGTTTAAATCCATCTGGGTATGGAGTTTTTCATGTGTGCAAGGGATGAATCTGTTGCTGCCAGTGAAGGAGGAAAAATGTGCTAAAATTGCAGCTGTGTTTTCATGAGAGCTCAGAAGTCTGACAAGGCCAATACCTGGATTGAAATCTTCTGATTTCCAAGAGTTGCTGCATTGCTGCTGTATTTTCACTGCTGCTTGTTTGTTTGTTGACTGCTGAATGAGATCCTTATGTGCCTCGATTTTTTTGCTTATAATCAGGAGGAAGAATGCCTTGTTCAGGAACAGAGAAAAAAGTAGGTATCAAGGATTTTGGAAGCTCAGTACTTGTCCTGCAAGAGGTATAACACTGCCCTTTCCTGTCTGTTCCTGTGCCTGAAGTTTTCTCTTGCTTAATGCCAAAGGGGGAAATTATTCTGTCTCACAGACATCTGTGTGGGCTTTCTAATGGTGTTTAGGTGCAGAGGATAGATTTACAAAAGGTTTTATGTATTTTTCAGGTGAAGTTTCTGGGACAAATCATGCTTAGTAAAATCTTGTGGTATAGTTGTGTGCATGCAGAAGTGGGTTTTTTCTAAGACTTGTCACATCACTTTAAGAATTAGTCTCAGATGTCTGAGAATTTTTTTTTTTTGCATGCCACTGAGGGCTGGAGATACTCTAGATGTATATTTTCTATGTATAGGCATGAGTCATTTTAAAATAGTGAATATTCTTAGCTGGCAACATCTTATCCGTAAACCCTCAAAAGATTTACAAATTATACGTTCCTTTTTGTTGTCTAGCATAGGTAGCAGTTGCTGCTTGATTGTGGCTGCTGATTTCATCTTATACAAATTAACTTAGAAAATGTGAAGCTTGCCCACTAACCAGATCCTTGCTAGTATGCAGTAATAAACACATTCTGATGGTCCTATTTTCTTTGCTGTCTTTCAGCTTTTTTAGCTGTAAGTTCTGCCTGAGAAGCAAAGAAGGTGGAAATGTTCCACCTTTGTGGAGAATATCTCAGTGTGGTTAATACCTGAGATAGAATGTTACTTTGCAGTTTTTGTGTAGCTTTAGATTCCCTCTTGTAGTTCCAGTTTTATAGAACTGTTCTTTCAGATTTGAAGATATTACACTTTTTCTGTGGCAGGCTTTGGCGTGTCAGTGCACTCAGCCATCCAATTGCTGTTGCTCTGTTTCTAATTAGACAATGTAGGTTCCTTGCTGTAAAGTGCCATCTGTTGAAAATTGTAAGTATTGTACATTCAGTTGTTTGGCTTCTTTTCTACCTTCTATCCATGTACAGTTTTCTATAGAATGGCATCAGTCTGAAATACTGAATAATTGAATAAATGTTGATTAAAGTATTATCTAGACATTGACGTCTCAAAGCTGCTTTGAAAATTTTAGTCAAAACCAAAATGTCATTTTGCAAAACTTTTAGACTTTATTTAAAAAACTTTGTCAAAAAAGTGTGTGCAAAGATTCAAAATGGGTGTACTATTTTTCTCACAAAGATTGTTTTCATATGAGGAATGATACTTTTTACGTAAAGGACAGTAAATAAAAAATTTTATTCATCTCATGCTTATTCTTACTTCAAACTGACTGCTTCAGATTTGATTTTGGATGTAAATGATGAACTTGGAGGGAAATAGATTACTTTCCCTAAATAAGTAATTTAAAGTAAAACCATTGTCTTTGCAGTTCAAAATGCAATGCTAGGTGCTCCAGAAAATGGAAATTTTCATACAGACTTTATTCAGGGCCCACGTTACAGCATGCAGCCATTTTTTTGGTTCACTTTTGTGTTTCTGAGCTTTAAGTGTCTGTTTGAACCGTAAGTACTGGGGGCCAGTTGTAGTCTGTCTTTCCTGAACTGTGCCTCCTTTTTTTTTGATGACAGGAGGAAAATGACAAAACAAACTCTGTTCTGCTTGATAATGATAGTGTGTTCATTACTTGTGAACTTAAACATGAGAACCGGAATTGTACGTGGCTCAATCCTCCTTATAATGTCAGTCAGTCTCTTTAGGGCTGGTGTTTGAAAACATCTTATTTTGCATTCCCAAAGACCTTGTTCTTTATGCTTCTTGCCACTAGGTGGGAGAAGAAGGTTGTCTAAACTGTGCCTTGGTGCTGCCAGCCTATTCTTAACCAGATCCATTCCTTCTTGCTGTATACTAGATTTTAGAAAAAGGATATTTCAGTCAAGCTGATGGTGGCTTATTTTGGTTTATTTGAGACATCTTTGTTGTAAGAAGCACTTGTCATGCTGTGTGGTTACAGTTCTAATTTTTGCTTTCTTGCAGGGCTATTTTCAAAAATAATTTTTGAGACAAAATCAACAGAAGATAAATTCCATGAGGTGTCAGTCAATCTGTAGTGTAAAAGTAGTTTTGTGATGTTCAAATGATTTAAATGTTATTCTGGATTTTATTTTTTTGCAAATGTCTTGGATAGTCTCTGGCAAACTTTCCAAGAGCGCTGTTTTGAATTCTGAAGGAATTTATTTCTTTCAATACAGCCTGATCTGTGAGAGGTGGTGTGCCACTTCAAGGGTGAAGCTTCAGTGGCTCAAACCTGCAGTGAAGCTTGGTGAAACAACGTGAAACCTGTGGCTTAAGAGGGACAGAAAATTATTTTTCTTCAATACAAAAATGCAAAAAAAAACTTTTAGGTAAAGAAAACTTGAATGGTAATGTGTGCTACTGGTAGAAGTTATTTGTACCTTGAATACAAAGCTAGAGCAACTTAGGCTGCCAGGTAACATCTAATATTTTGTGTAATGATCCTGCACAGTGGGGTTTTCTTTTGTATGCAAAAGCTCTTAACTGGAGTAAAATTTTGATCATTTTTTTTGTATACTTTAAAATATTTTTTTCTGATATGCCAGGTCAGATATTAGAGCTAGGAAGCTCTAATTTCGTTCAGGACTGTATACATTTTGACTGTTATGGCTGATATAGCTACTGCATTATCTGTTCTAGTTATTAGATACATGAGTGAGTTAATATTTGTACTGCCCAGCACCATGATTATAAGTTACTGCTGAATGTGGTGCTGAAGTACTAAAGGATGCATGCAGTTCCTTTTTTACAGGCTGTTTTGTGGCTCTGAAAGGCACATCACAGAATGTTTTGTTGTGTTTTATATTCTGACCATGTAAAAATCCTTCTGAAATATGAATGGCACAGTGCATAATTTGCTGCACATAAAATTTAAAAGTATTCTTTCCCGGTACCAGGGCAATCTCTCAAGTAGAATTCATTGCATTTAATTGTTATGTTTAGAATAATGCTGCTGAAATTTGATAGTTAACCTGTATTTATTCAGTTGGTGATTCCTTTCTTTTTGCTTTCGGTGACTGCTTTAGTTTGTTGCAGTGTCTGTGAGCAGTGCTTCAGCAGAAGTACAGGGAAGTGCTTTAAGCCTGATTTATTTGCACAGGTTTGTGTAAATAGCTGTGCTCGTGCTCATACAAACAGCCTCACTGAGATCAATACAACACTTACCATAAACTGTGTTGCAGTTACGCCCTTTTCTGTCTACTTGTCTGTCAAAGTTAGTGTTGTTAGGAGAATTCAGTTCTATCCAAGCTCAGCCTGCTTGTTTTCATTATTCTGTTTCTAAACAAGTAAAAGCTTTGGCTGCAGGGGGTCTGTGGGAGGGTTCCCAGTGATGGATCAGGAAGCACTGTTTGTATCTGCACTGGCTATGAACATACCAAAATATGTTCCTGTTTCATTTTCAGGAGTTATGCTGTGCACTATCACAAAGTATGTGTGTAAATACTCTCTGCCAGTTATGTAGTGTATTTGCAAATACAAATGTATTTTTAAATGTGATACACCAGAACTGACTAAATAGTGTTAAAATAGCTGAAATAAACATTACTGAAGTAAAATTAAATTACCATGTCCTCACTGCTGTTTTAAAACCAACGCAGCCAGACTAGTCCAGTGGATTTTTTGGAATATGGAACAGATTCTTGTGGGGGAAGAGAAAGGAGTTTTCAGACATTATCTTTTTAAAATACAGAACTTCCCTCTGTAGAGCACATTTGTTGCCCAATTTAATCTTGTCTTTCATTTCATGAGTTAGTTCTCTTGAACTCAGTCTCTGCAGGCAGTGAAATTTATATCTTGGTGCTGGTAGTAGCTGTTATAAAATTATTCATCTCTAATTCTAGGCAACGTAATTGGTTCACTTCTTACTGCTGGGTTTGCTTCCTTCAGCAAATGAAACGGTTTGGAAAGTGGTACTTTCTCAGTGCTTTATAGCTTATACAAGCCATGGCATTTATATTTAATCGCATCTGGCACTTTAAAGAACTGGTTCTTGTTTTAAAATTGCATATTACTTTCCTAAATGTTAACAGGGTGGGCTGTAACCTCTTATGCCAAGTATTTGCTTTAAATCTTTTTAATTTCAGCAAAATACTTAGCGGTTTCAGGGTAAGGGTAGTTCACGATGTCAGAAGACAAAACCTGTGGTCTTGTACCTCCTTAAATTCTTGTGACTTCTACAAGAAAATGTTGAGACTTGGTGAGAGGTCCCTATTGTCAGGAGTCTTTTGTAATTCCTGTGAAACAGCTTTTCGGAAACTTCAGAAGAGCACAGCTTGAGAGGTGAATTCTCTGCAGATTCTGCTGGGAGTGGGAATCCACCCCTGGCAGGTAGAATTGCCAGGGTTTGACTTTTTTAGTGGGAAGTGTTCTTTCTGCCTGGCAGGGACAGGTTATGTGATGAGGAATGCCCTTTGATTGTGAGCACCTGCTGTTAAGGCTGGGGCTGTCTTCAGCCCTGCTCGGGGCAGGGGAAAGTGATATTTCCCTTAACACTGTGCTGCCACTGCGTGCTTGAGAAGGTTCTGTGGACTCAGTGGGAGACTGACTGGAAAAGGTACATGGAAGAAAGATGAAGTGATGGGTTTAAAGCACATAAAATCAGATTAAAGAAATCCTCTCAGCATAAAATAATTTGAGTTTGGGAGTGTGATAGGATAAGCATATCTGTTTCTTACTCTTTTTTAGGTATCTACCTATGTAAAAAGGTCACTGTGGTGGATGGATTGTTGGCTGGAAACACTGCAGCTATTCTTGTAGCTGGAAACCCAACTGAAGGCATTTTTTTTTAATTCCCTGCAGTGGTTTCTCATTACTTACAAGCTATACTAGAACTGTGTGTTAATAGCTAGGGGCAAAGCAGAGTTCCTTGCTGATGTTCTCAAAAAATCTCTTGCTGAGCAAAGGTAGTGAGAAGTGGAAGAAGAAAGCTGCCAGAATTCAGGAAATTGGGAAGCTCAGACTTTGCTGTTGTGGGCTAAGTGCAAACCATAAATGAAGTGGAAATGGGAAATCTCCACAAGCCTTGCTGGTAGCAGATTCATTTTCTTCATGCTCTCTATAAGGTGAAGAAAGAGTACAGCATGAATCATAGAATTGTTAAGGTTAGAAAAGACCTCTGAGACCGAGTCCAGCTGTTAATCTAACGCTGCCGTGTTCAGCACTAACCCACGTCCCCAAGTGCCACGTTCACACATTTTTCGAACACTTCTAGGGATGGCGGTGATAGCACCACTTTCCTGGACAGGCTGTTCCAGTTTCTTGAACTGGGCAGACAGTTCTGGTTCCTGTCTGATCACCCTTTCAGTGAAGTTCATGTATGTGTCATTCAGTGGTGTGTAGGATCATATAGCCATAGGCTAGAAATTAAGTATAAAATGTGTAAGGCTGCAGAATACTTGGTTACCTCTGAACTCTTGAGTAGTTGATGCAACAATGCCTTTCTGTGCTCCTTTATATTCTTGGATGGATCCCTTCAATCACCTCTGCAGGTTCTTTTGTCCTAAGGACAATAGGTGAAGTGCTACCAGCCTGTATATCTCAAATCACTGTTCAAACTAATGTCAATCATATTTCCTTATATCCTTAAATAGGTCTGACTATCTTATTTGTACTTTTAAATTGTTGGTAAAATCTGTGTACAGATGAAGAAAGTGAAGTCTTCCTTGAGGTGATCTCATAAATCAAGCTCTGTCAGATTATTGTAGTAATATTGTTCTTTGAGAAGGAAGTGGAGACTATATTTTATCTGTTCAGATATTATTGATGAGATGGTTGTTGGTATGAAAGATGAAGTCTTTGGCATGAAGGATGATTTTGGATTTTAACTGCAGGCTGCTGCCTAAAAGGAGACATCTTTATCTTGCCAGTGCTTTTGGTTTGACATGTCTTTTTGAGCTCACAGTGGAATTTTTCAAGTCACAAAGTGAGTCGTTACATAGACAAGGGGAATTTTTTTGTACACTGGAATATCCTTCAGACCTGCGTCTATTTCCACATGCTGCACCTCTGAAGTGTCAAGACTTACT